AGTGATTGGTTGCTAGAGGTTACTGCATATCATTACTGCTCACTGATTGGTTGCTAGAGGTTACTGCACATGATTACTGCTCACTGATTGGTTGCTATTGGTTACTACGCATCATTAAAACTCACTTATTGATTGCTAGAGGTTACAGAACATCATTACAGCTCACTGGTTGCTAGAGGTTACAGCACTTAATTATGTCCCACTGATTGGTTGCTGAAGGTTACAGCACATCATCTCATCACTGCCTGCACACCATAAACTGAGAAGGGGAGGGGACCCACTAATAGACAGAAAACTTCTAGGGATCCTAGAACTTCTGGGATCAGTGGCAGTGCTGGGGGGGGATTAAGTGATCAGTGGCAGTGTTGGGGGGTCAATGGGATCAGTGGCAATGCTTGGGGGAGGGTGTGATCAGTGGCAGTGCTGGGGGGCATGAGATAATGGCAGTGCTTAAGGTGGATGGGATCAGTGGCAGTGCTGGATGGGGATGGGAGGTGACATTTCTACACCAACCTCCAATGTTAGGGGGATTTACACTGATGACCAATGTAAGAATGGGCTTACAGTGACCACCAGTGTAAGGGCAACTCTGCACTTACCACCAATGTAAAGGGAAATGTACACTGCTCACCAACGTAATGAAGAATTTACACTGACAACCAATGTAAGGGTTTTTTGTACACCAACAACCAATACATTTCTTCACTGGCCAGCAATGTAAGTGGGAATTTACACTGACCACCAATTCAAGGGAGGTTCTACATGGACCAGCATTGTAAGGGAGGATATGACACTGACCACAAATGCAAGTTAGGATTTTTACCTACTACCAATATAAAGAGGGGTTTCTATACTGGCCACCAATGCAAAGGGGAGTTACACAGACCACTAATGTAATAGGAGCATTCACAGTGACCACCAATGTAAAGAGGGCCACTAATGTGAATGAAAGGATTCTACACCATGTCTCAATGAAATGAGAAGATATACACTGACCACCAATGTAATTGGGACATTTAGCCTATGTTCACATTTATGCGCTTCAGGAACGCATGCAAAATCACTTTCCTGACACCACAGATATGTGCTGCCCTTTAGCAGATACACAGTTGTGCCATTAATTGTTAACCACTTCAATACTAGGCACTTTTACCCCTTCCTGCCCAGGCCAATTTTCAGCTTTCAGCGCTGTCCCACTATGAATGACAATTGCGCGGTCATGCAACACTGTACCCATATGACATTTTTATCATTTTTTTCACACAAATAGAGCTGTCTTTGGGTGGTATTATTCACCACTGAGTTTTTTTTATTGTTTGCTAAATAAAACAAAAAAATTCCTGAAACTTTTCAAAAAAAATAACTTTTCTTTGTTTCGATAACATTTTGCAAATGGATCAGGGGACATAAGCTGTTCGATATTTGGAGAGTACAACACCCGAATGCTAAACAGTTTTCATTGTTCTTCCTGGTGCACCACATCTACAAAAGATTAGATTACTTTTTGCTTTCAGCTTCCCTACTTATACAGACAGTAGACTGCGATATTGTCCCCAGCTCCTGGTCAGATCATTCTTTTTTGGTTTTAGATCTGTTTGTAGATCAATTAAATTCATGCACATGCCATTTGCGCCTGAATGACACACTTTTATGCCACACTAGTGTCAACACTTCTATTTCGAAATCATTGCGTGAATTATTTGAACTCAATAATGGATCTGTGTCAGCATCTTCAACTTTGTGGGAAGCTCATAAATCATTTATTAAGGGTCATTTTATAATGGAAAGCTCACGTCTTAAGAAGTCCCTGCTTCATCAGAAAACTGACCTTATGAACCAATTAGCACAAGCAGAAAAAAAAAACTTATCGATTCGCCCTCTCTACCTAAACTTAGTTTAGTGGTACAACTTAAAGATCAACTTAAGACACTTGAGGCCAGTTCTATAGCAAAGAAACTGTTATGGACGAGACAGAAGTTTTACCAATACGCTAATAAACCTCATAGGATGTTGGTTAATAAACTGAAAATGCATTCGGCCACTTCCGCTCCTGAATTTTTGTTTCAAACGGATGGCACCGCCACGTTTTGCCTCCAACAGATAGCCCAAGTGTTCGGAGATTTCTATCGTAAGCTTTATAATTGTCTATCACCAGACGTACACACCACTTTCAATAGAGATTCCTTTGATGCTTTTTTCTCAGCCCTTCACCTCCCTAAGCTTAAAAGGAAAGAGAGATTAATCTTGAATGCACCCATTATTATGAAGGAGCTATGTGCAGTTGTTAAGGCACTCCCGTAGCACACAAGGTGCTGGGCCCAGACAGGTTTTCTTACACATAAGCAATTTATCGCAGATATAAGCCTTGCTCTATTGGAATTCTACTCTTCCCTGCTGAGCGGAGAAGAACCTCATTCGCAGTTCCAACATTCTCATATCTCAGTCATTCCCAAACCAGGCAAAAACCTAATGACCCCAGCTAACTACAGGCCATTCTATTTATTTTCAGATTTAATTGTCATTTTCTATTTCCCTTCTATCGAATATGCTATTTTTTTAGATATATGTTATTATATGTATACATACACACACATATACGTTTTAACCCAAAAGCATTAGAGCTGTTCTCTTGTGTGTTTTTATTTCTATTTTTATTTCTGGTTTTATATCTTTTTTATACTTGTATTAATTCCTGTATGATGCAGGAAAACATGTCGGTCCTTAGGACCCAGGAATTACTTGCCTCCCTCCCATTCCCTTCACACTATAAAAATGTCAGGGTTTTACTGGGGCTCAGGTCTGAAGAAAGGAGCCTATTGAGCATGCTCCGAAATGCATTACTGCCCACTTGACCTGCTACATCTGACTCTGCTCTCCAAGCTTCATATTTGATGCACAGGCACATCCTGGACTCTACTTCCTGATCCTATAGACATAGTTTGCTGCTGGACGGCTGGATGTCCCACCTGGATCCAATTACCACACAATTAGTCTTTTTAACCGTTTATCTTGCAAGTGCAATTTATCCATTGTTTACTAAATAAATTGTCAATACTGCACTTAGGGGCGCCTTCCTCTCTTTTTCTTGTTACTGCATTAGAGCCTTGCTTCCACTCTAAGAAGAGCTGCCTCTGTGTTACTGCTCCCATCCATCCATTCCTGATATCCATCTGGCACCTTTATCTTACAGCTACAGAGGTTGGGCTCCAACAAGCACGCCCTATATAATATACATTTTCTGGTATGACAAATAAACCATGCTGTTCTAACAAAGAATTACACAAAAAACAATGACTAAGAAAGATGCATCCAGAGCATCTCAAAAAAACTAGCAGACACAGAATAAACAAATCCAAAAAAAATTTGCAAACACAGTAGGATACCAAAGTATGGAGGAGGCCAGAGCAACCAAAGCTGCCAGGCATCCACAGCAACAGCTGTAGATGTTTGGGGATGACATAGGGAGGGTGAAAACCGGCGGTAACTTCACTCCTCTCTTCCAAATGAAACAGCAAATAACAGGACAACATCGGAGACGATCCCGATAGGGTATCGGATTTTTCCCAAAAAGGATATCAAAATTGACGTACAAAACATATCTATAGACATTGAGTCTTACGCAGCAGTAGCTGCTGTGTGCATGACGTAATCAGGTATTAGAAGATAACTGGAGGCAGGAGACCATTGAGGAATCGGAAGGCGTGTCTTGTTTCTGGATCTTACCGGGGTCCACATCTTGTTAGGAGTATTGACCGCTCTTGGCTTGGGTAAGGGTAGTGCTAAAGCTTCATCCGGGGTTGAAACAGGCCCAAGTTACGCAGAAATGCCTCTCCTTCTTGAAGATCTCTGATTGTGTGTTGAGTGCCATCTTTGGTTATGGTTAACCTGAACGGAAAGCCACATCTGTATATAATGCGATAAAGTCAACCTAGGCCATGTTACGCGTGGAATTCAGCAGAGATTCCTTACTATCATAGTAATGCAACCGGACAACGATGTCTCTTGGTCTCGTGCCCAGTGAAGGTTTTGGGGCAAGAGAGCGGTGGGCCTTATCCATATGCCAATCCATGTCCAGAACCACTGGGGCCAATGCGGTGAATAAACCCTGTAAATAATCTTGCAGATCAGCATCACCTATTGACTCAAGAATGCTGAGTATACAGAGATTCTGTTTCCGCTCCCTATTCTTCAAATCTTCTTGTAGAGATTGCAAATGGGACATCTGTTGTTTCAAAGTATGATTATCTTCCTCCAGTACATGCACATACTGCACCAAATCATCAAATTTGGTTTCTGAACTATTTTCCCCACTGTCGCAGAAATAGTATGGGGCAAACTCTACAGAAGACCATGCAACTTATGATCCAGAATGTCTGCTGTGAGATAGGGGACAGGAGAAGGGGGGATAATGCAGAGTGCTGTGTTACCTACGCCTCACGACCTGTGGACCTCTGTATCTCCTGCTGGGATGATGTGATCACTCGAGGCCGGGATGCGGCTCATGACACATTTATCCAAATGTGTAGGCAGCAAATGCCTGGCGGGTGATGGAGGGTATTTCTGACGCCTGATTTTGCCCATGGGGATCTGCAAATGATACTGAGTCCCGTACTTGTGCTCCTCTGCTGTAGTTGGCCAACCTTAGCTCCGGAGGAGCTGGAAGAGAGAGCGGTGAAGTGGAGTGAGGTCACTGTGCGACCACCATCTTCAGCCTCCGCGCATACGCCCCCTTCCATTTCTTTATTTAGGTTATCACCTCTTACTGCGATTCCTGAAGAATCCAAAGAATTTAATCATCAGTTCCTATGGGTTCTTGTTCTTTATTGATCAAATTGATGATAGTCTATTCTCATTGAAATACCCAAACTTACAGTATATCAAGCTTTTTTTTTGTGATTAGATCATTTGGTCCAGATCCCCTTTAACCGCCTCCCGCCCGCCATATAAGGTAATGACGGGCGCAAGGTGGTCATATAACGTCCTCCCACTCTAACCGCGCATGTGCAGATCCAGGAGCACTCAGCGCGGCGATCGGCAGTGCGCTGTGTCCCTTGCACACAGTGGATCACCGATCAACGGAAAGAGCCAAAGATGTCGGCTCGGTCATGTGATCAGCTGTGTCCAATCACAGCTGATTACATGTAAATAGGAAAATGCCGGTAATCAGCCTTTCTCTCCTCACGAGCTGTCACGCTGACAGCTCGAGAGGAGAGGAGAGACAGTAATCAGCATTCCTCGGAGGGGACATGGACACTGATGATCAGTGTGCCCCCAGAAGTGCCACCTGTCAGTGCTCATCAATGCCAGCTGCCAGTTTTCAACAATGCCACCTGCCAGTGCCCATCAGTGCCTCATATCAGTGCCTACCAGTGCACATCATTGCTACATATCAGTGCCCATCTGAGCTGCCTTTCAGTGCCACCTATCAGTGCCAGTCAGTGCCACCTATCAGTGCCAGTCAGTGCCACCTATCAGTGTTGCCTATCAGTGCCGCCTAACAGTGCCAGTCAGTGCCACCTAACAGTGCCAGTCAGTGCCGTCCAACAGTGCCAGTCAGTGTCGCCCACCAGTGCCACCTATCAGTGCCGCCTATCAGTGCCATATATGAGTGCTGATTTTCAGTGCCCATCAATGATGCCTGTCAATGCCCATCAGTGTCACCTACTAGTGCTTCCTCATCAGTGCAGCCTATCAGTGCAGCCTATCAGTACCCATCACTGCAGCCTCATTAGCGCACATCAGTGAAGGAGAAATCACTTATTTACAACATTTTATAAAAAAAACTAAGAAAAACATGTTTTTTTTTTCAAAATTTTCATTTGTTTTTGGTTTGTTTAGCAAAAAATAAAAAACCCAGACTAAATACCACCAAAAGAAAGCTCTGTCTCAAAAAATGAAGATACAAATGTCATATGGGTACAGTGTTGCATGACCGCGCAATTGTCCTTCAAGGGGCAGTACAGACTGATGGTTCTTATGATGGATAAACACTCTGGGAGCATCATTGTTACTATGTGCAGCAGGATCTGGAAAAGTGGCAAGGATATTTGGAGTTAGTTCACCTTTTCATCTTTCATATTTGTACATTATAAGATATTGTTGTAGAAAAGGTTTCAAACCTCATTTAACCACTTGCACTCCTGTGGATTTACGCCCCTTCATGACCAGGGCATTTTTAGCGTTATGGCGCTGCGTTACTTTAACTGGCAATTGCACGGACATGCAACGCTGCACCCAAGTTTAATTTATGTCCTTTTTTCCCCCACGAATTCTGCTTTCTTTCTGTGGTATTTGATTGCCTGTTTGAGTAGTTGACTTGCACGTTGTAATTTGGGAGTCTTTTTTTTTTGCACTATAAGCAACAATTTTGAGAAAAAAACAATATTTTGGACTTTTTGCTATTAAACATGTCCAGTAAAAAAAATGTAAAAAATCAAATCTAGCCATAAATGTAGGCCAAAATGTATTCTGCAGCATGTTTTGCTAAAAAATAAATCCCAATACGTGTAAATTAATTGGTTACGTGAAAGTTATAGCGTTTACAGATGGCGGTATAGATAATGGGATTTTTTTTTTTTATTAGTAATGGTGGCGATTAGCGACTTTTAGCGGGACTGCGGCAGACATTCTGACGGGGGGGAGGGGGGGGCAACTTTCCGGTTCTACCCGAAAATGCACAATCACATATATATACGTGATTCTGCACACAGGTGCTGCCCTGTAGCATTATATCTGCTATAGAGCAGTCGTTAAGTGGTCAGTTAATAGGGATAACAACAATAATCAGATTTCAAAGAATTCCTTAAAACCATTTCCAATAATTATCTGTTTTAGCTATCATAATAAAATAGCTCCTAAAGAAACAAACTCAAAATTACAAAAAAATGATTTATTTGAAATCTGCCACGTAAATATCAAAAACATCAATAAAAGTTTTAGGATGTTGGCAGTTTAAGCATCACTAGCCCTTAGCACTGTCTGCCCTTGTTTCTATGTTGTAACATAAAAATCAATAATTATCAGCAACACATCTTTTTTGTAATATGACACTATGCAAATTGCCTGAAGGCATTTACAGGCTGCATGTCAAAGACACCTCTTCCTTTGCAGTGACAATCATGTTTAACTGCTCTCTGTTGTGTAGTGGGCATACGGCAATAGCCAGGGGAAAGGGAAATATGAATTTAACCATAGATTTAAAACGAATTAAAAAAAAAAAAAAAGACTAAACTTGCATATTGGATCATTGCTGTTTATTCATCCTAGGCTGCACATTTGGGAAAAGAAGTACATCTGAGACAGGTGAGAGCAGATTATCAAAGTATGAGCTTGTTCACACAGTTATACGCAAACTGGATTAAACCCAAAATGTAACAAAGCAAAAATGTAATACATTTTAATTTACCAATCCTTATATGTGATGGCTGTATTTGTTTTTATTTTTTTCAGCAAGTGCAGAAAAAGCACAGATATGAAGGCACAGGATGTCTGTTGTTTGTAAGATTACCAGGTGAAAATAAAAGGAAGAAAAGCCAGAAAAAAGAAAAATTAATGCAGCCATTACTTTGCGGGACTGTAAACTGTAAGATTTGAAAATTTTGCTTTTAGTTTAGACACACTTTAAACCATTCTGGGCAACCACACACATATACCACATGGCGATATGCCTTTTTCCATTGCACATCAAATATTTGCTCCTGTTTTTGTACTGGAAGCTGTCACCGCCAACTCCTGATTTCATAGTAACCGACAGAACTGGCTCCCAATCACATGAGCGCAGTTATAGCCTGTGATTGGCTATCACAGTGATCATTCTGTAAAACTCACCTACTGTTTATCCTCTGAATGGACAAAAAGATGCATTGTACCCTTTCTCCTAGCCAGAGGAGAAGAAAGTCTGTGTAACAAACAAAAAAAGTAAATAATTAGAAGAAAAGAAAATGGAGCATGCGCGGCCAGCTCCGTTAATAGACGCTCACTGACAGAGCTCCTCAGCCATCCTGGCCCGAACACCGGCTACAACCCAAAAGCAGGACTCTAACTTACTGAGGAGACGGTCTCCCCTCCCGGTAACCTCCGCCACTATGCCCCGATGCCGCAAATCTTCGTCAGCCACGGAAGCTGACAGACTTCTATCCGGCCCACGATCCCTGCAGCCAAGATGGCGCCGACGGCCTGCAGAGCAGCTCCTCCACTCCCTCACGGGATAAACAACAATATACACCAGACCTGAGGCTGCTGATGCCACAATATGATGGGGACCTGGGTGAGTCTTTCCCCCCCTTTTCCCCCTCCACCATGAGCCCAGCAAAATCAAGGTCCAGAATAGAGGATCCCACACATACAGAATCCCACATGCCTGCCATCCCTCATGAGACTCAGTCACAGCTGCAATCTGCCATTGTAGCATTTCCAGCTTGACCAGACAGTCTCTGAGCTCACAATGAAAAATATGCTGCGGTTATTAATGCAAACTCTACACTGCGACATATCAGTGGTTATAGCCCCTATATCAAACACTGTACAAGAACATACAAAACGACTGAAACCATATTGAAAAAAAAAATGAGCGACCTATACACAGCCCACAACAACATAGTAGACGCTCACGCAGAACATGACTCAGAATTACAACAATTAAAACTCAAAATAGTGGATCTGAAAGACTGCTCAAGGTGTAATAATATAAAATTCTGTGGCATCCCGGAATCGGTCGGCCCTGATACCCTGATGTCCTATCTTCAACAACTAATGAAACCCCTCATGCCATTGCTTACAGATGTGGAACTAGCGATCGACAGAGCACACAAAATTCCAAAACCCACTTTTTTACCCTCCTCAGTCCCTAGAGATGCTTTGGCACGAATACATTTTTACCATGTCAAAGAAAAGCTCATGGCGGGAATGAGAGCTCAGACATCTCTTCCACAAACATATGCGGGCATCAAACTATATGCTGAGCTATCTAAAGTGACAATCAGCAACAGGAAAAAATTAATTTCTGTCACTAAAGCACTCCGCAACCATGGCATAGGATACCAGTGGGGTTTCCCCACCAAGCTTACTATTAAATGACAGGGCAAATACTTCACTATTAGAAGTTTGGAAGCTGGTATTGATTTACTGAAGGAATGGAATATCTTGCAGGTGGAAGACCAATGCACCTCGCACCATCCTCAACATATGGACGGGGATTGGACCTGACCAGGTTCCCCGTTCCCTTACAACATCCTGCTATACACCTCCCTTTTTACATTAGTAGCTGAAATGGCTTGGCCTAGTTCTCACAATTGAAAGAATTACACGTTCTCTACACCATGACTATCTGTTAACTGGGGGTGAACCTGTAGCTATGACATTAACAGTAGCTAATTTTGCTACCCATTTCTCTTGTATTTTTAACAAGATCTTTTTATATTTTCTTTGCTCACTAGTTCTCTACTGGAACAACCATCCTATATTTTCCTGTACCCTCCATCTGCACTAAGGCAACAGAAACCACACAAATTGACCTAACCTACTCTCCCAGAACCTACCCACTTACAACCTCACTTCATATAAATCACACACTGACCTTAATGATTACCATCACAAACAGATACCGAGTACTAACTGATACAATATCCCATTTGAAACAACTCCCAAGCTGCTACTCACACAATTATGGCTCTTAAAATAGCATCCCTTAACGTTAGGGGGCCTTAATTCTCCATTCAAGAGATCGACATTAACCAAGGAAGCCTTCTCTCCAAGCAGACATAATCCTCATCCAGGAAATGCATTTCGCCAAGACAAAAACACCCAACTTCAATATCAAGCAATTCCCAACTCTTTACCTTGCATCTAACTCCAAAAAGAAAAACGGCATTCTGACAGCAATAAAATATACAGTAAACTTCAAATTTATCTCAGAATGTGCTGATCCCCAAGGCCGATTCCACATCTTGATTCCGATTCCTCATCAACAATACCCAACACACGTTGGTAAACATATATGGCCCAAACACTAACCAAATCCAGTTTTGCAAACACTTAATTACCAAGATTTCTTCACTCAGAAAAGGCAATTTAATTATAGGAGGAGACTTCAATATAAATGGAAATGTCCACCTAGACTGTTCAAAAAAATTCCCCTCTGCTCGCTCTCTGAACCACTTCTTACATACCAATGACTTATACGACTACTTTCCCTCTCAACACTCGTACTCAAGGATAGAATTTTTCCTCTCTGATAAATGGACTCTGCAAAATATCACGTCATTGGAAATGGGCACAATTACATGGTCTGATCATGCTCCCATAAGCATTACCCAAGGAAACTCGAATAAATCTTACACCTCACTTCCCTGGAGACTCAACTCCTCTATTGGAAGACCTTACTAACTGGAAAACTCTCATAGAAGCTCACTCTCTCTTCTTTGATACAAACGACACAGCTGACATCTCTATGACTACTCTGTGGGCCACCTACAAAGCTTATATGAGAGGGATCCTTATGAAAATAAATTCATAATTTCCTACCCAGAGAAGGCGTCAGATTGAAGAGGTTTTAAAATCCATTAAATGGATAGAGGAATTGAACAAACATGACCCTAGTGATATCAATT